GGAAGAAGTTGACAGAAGTATGTGCTTAACTTGTCTTTTCCTGAGCCTTAAATTGCCAAAAGCCGAATATTTTGAGCATTGCTTGGGCTGCAATTCTATAGTGTCTTCGGGTTTGGGTTTAAATACTGACGCAGGGACCTGTAATAATATAAGTCCTCATCTTGAAAGATCCTGCAATTAACCTTAATGACTCGTACAGCTCGTACTACAATCTTTTTTATCTTTTACCAACTTATCAAGCCCCTTCTTCATATGAAATGACTTTTAGCTTAAGTTAAACAAAGCAAATGTACATACTTGACTACGGTATATGTACCCTTTGACCTTAAACCACAATGCTTCATGCTCTGTCTTCTTTCTCAAGAAAAAGTGTACATTATACTTACGGTAGCAGACATTGTCAAGAACAAAGCTACATTAACCGAATTCTGATGAGATCCACTTCCGTTTTTCACACTGCTTTCTGGCGTGATCCATTAGGAAAAAGAAATGCAGGTAGATAGCACTAAGCAAGTGTCATTAGAATTTCTTAAGATAAGATGGATAAGTCTTATTGTGTGGGTCTTTGTCCTATCATTAGATATAAAAGATGGAAGATTGACACAATAATGTGTACTTGCTTTTCTAGGTCTCAGAATAGATTATGAAGGTAGAAATGATGGATAGGACTTGAAAAAAAAATTTATGCAAAAAGTTGCTTAACCAATGCTCAAAACGTGTCAATCACAGCTGCAAAGCGAGCGTAATTGGATTTAGAAATCTTAAAAAAACCCATATTTTATAGATAGATCAGTGATTCTAATTCCTTGGTTTTTTTTTACCTTACACTACATAATTCTAGGCTACCCTACTATTCACGCTCCTTTGTTCGGTGAAGATTGTGTTCACACCACAACAGGATGATATACGAACAGGTACATTTGTCACCTCCTTCTTTTCTGGCTATGATGTAACTACACGTAATCATGTTTTGCTTCTGTATTCTCTACGCACAGCTTTTGCTTACCCCCTAAAAAGCCCGGTTGCGTGTCGCGGTTCAATCGCTTTACACATGTTTAAAACCTCAAGCTCACAATACGAAATTTCCGGTTTTTTTCCAAAAGGGCGCGTGCTTTTTAGAAGCTGAAACGAAGTATCATATGATGTGGAGATTTATTAGCGAAAGGGAATGTTTAAAGAAATATAATAGTCGATTTGTAGATTGAAAGGAAATTTGTAGAATATTGTTATTTTGCTCAGTTGAAAGAAAGGTAAAACTTTTTTCTAATTAAAGATATCTTGCTTTTAGTTGAAAAAAGGCTATGGCTTTTTTTAAAGTCAGTATTGGTCTGTGCTAAACAGATGTTTAATAAGTAAATAAAAAAAGTTTAGAGTAATCAATTACAACTCAATTTCTTGATCTTTGGGTAAACTAAATTTTTCCCTCTACTAGATAGGGGCGTACTTCCTTTAGTTAGCGTGACATACCAGAAGAGTCCCATTGGCTAATCAAATATTCTTAAAGAAACCGTTTTTGTCGGAATGCCCAATCGCATAGTCATCTTCTAATAACGAAAAAATGTTGTATAGTGCAGATGTGAAACTATGTCTCTCCATATAATTGAGTCGCCTTTAGAAATTTTGAAAAATGTTGTAAAATCAGAGAACACTTGGTCAGATAGCTGTATGAAATTTTCAAATTAGAAGTTCTAGGTTTTCTCGAAATTGTCTGCATCTTTCTAATCAATTCTTTTTGGTTAATTGATGATTGTTTTTATTTATTCCATCTTCTTTGACCCATTAAAGTTATGTGAGCGAGTCAGAATAGATAAGCTGTTGATAAGACATGATTAAGAATGAAAAGTGATCAATGACCGATTTATCAAACTGGAACGTACTCCCTTCTTCTTTTATCTGTAAATGAAATCAGTTTAAAAAAAAGAAACGATCGAGGATTATGTGCGCAAGCAT